AACTATTCAAAACTATTATTATTATTATTATTATTACAATTACGATAACTACTATTACTTATTATCTTTGCACTGAAAACAAAATGACGAAAAAGAAACGAAGAAAAATCGTAGTATAGTAAGTTTTGGAAAGAAACGAGCAAAAAAAACAAAGGGGGGAAGGGGGAGGGGTAGGAAAGAAAGAAGTAACGAAGATAAAGCAAGACAAAGAAGGTATAAACGAAAATCACGAATGCTTTGTATATGCAAACTATATTATATATTATATATGTGATATATATAATATATATTAAATATATAAACTCGTGTACACGGTTTATTGGGTACCGAAAGCAGAATCGGGTACCGATACGTGCAATATTCGTGTACGTAAAGTATAAATACACACGTATACACACACAATCACACACGCATACACATAGGTCCTATATAAGCTGAAATCTAAGATTTTATAAAACGAAATAATCGCGTGTCGTTTCATTTTTCGGGACACACATGTTTCACATATTANATTGCCTCCTCCTCTCGCATCGACCACAATGTTTCTTCTAACGATTTCGTTTTTTTTTGGGTACCTCGTGGTCGGTCCACTCCGTTCTTTATTCGAATCATCGATTTATTATGATTCCTGCGTGGAAAATACGCTGCACGGGGGATAGGAGTAAAACCACGTGATACTCATACAGATAAATATCTTTACTTCGAAGCGTAACGACGAATGCTTACCGACGAAAGAAAGATTTATTAGGTTTCTTTAGCCCCGTCGAGATAAACCCGGTGTGAGGCAAACTCTTCGTAGGATGAATTTTATAGATATATATTATATATATATATATATATACATGCGCATATATGCATACGTGAATCGCATTAACACGTATACAAAGTGTAAAACATTATACACACATGGAAACATACGTACATATACACATATATTTTTTTCTATCGTTCAATGTCCAAACCTGTTTAGAGGTTAACTCGGAACGACGATCGAAAGAAAAGCGCGTATTAACGAGAGACCGTTATTAGCTTTCTTTGTGACAGATCGCTACTAGCATCCTTTAATTATCGATTCTCTATCGTTTTATATAATTGCAATTATTATTATTATTATTATTATTATTATTATTATTATTATTATTAATTTTATTATTATTATTATTATTAATT